CTCTTTTTTTTTTTTTTTTTTTTTTTCCGCCCGCCGCCGCCGCGTCGAAAGAAAAAGGCAATTTTCCCACAGCACAGCGCGGCATCACTGCACAGCACAGCAAATGGCGCAGCAACGCGCAGTCGACTACAGTAATTCGGGGCAGGAATACGCGAAAAAGGCCCAGTTGTCGCCCGCGCATCGAGCCGATGCCGCTGGAAAATTGGGCACCTCGTCGACAGCGCGCAAAGCTGCATTGTTTCCACCACCATCGCCGCCGCCATCCGCCGCCATCCTCGCCAGCCCGCCAACACCACCAACACCCTCGGCCGCCTCTTTCTCCTTCCTCGTCATACCTTCGTCATCACCACCACCACTCCACACCGTACCATCCTTTCCACGCTGGACCCTCTTTTCACATCTGGGCCGTCGCCATGTCAGAAACAGGTAAGTCTCGTCACCACCACCACCACCACCATCCCAACTTGGCACACATGCTCACCATCCTCTCGCCCATCTCGCAAGCAGCAACCGCCACACGGCCCCCGGCAAAGCCTCTGCGCAACGCATCCCCCGCACGCTCCACCGCAAAACACCATCTCGAACCCAACCCGTTCGAGAAATCATTCAGCTCGGGCCCCACCTCGTCCGAATCCATCGACCGTCGCTCCGACCTAAAGAGCGACTCCAAGTCCAGCCTCAGCACCCCTCCCCTCAGCACACGTCCAGGTGCCGCCTATCGCGATCGCACCTTCTCCAAGTCCCAGACATCGCCATCCACCACCAACAACGAAGCCGCGTCCACGCCCAAGCCGCTCCTCCCACCCGTCGCTTCCATCACCTCGCCCGCCGGCGAGTCCAACGCCTATCCTTGGTCCGCAGGTCTCACCAGCTCGCTTCGCTCCGGCCCGCTCTCGCCCGCCATGCTCGCAGGTCCCCAGAGCTCCCACTTTGACCCCAACTCCTTCCGCACCGGATTCACCCCCGACCTCTCCAACTTCAAGACGGGTCTCACCCCGCTCAGCGGCGGCATGTCCTTCCCACCGCCCTCCCCCAACACCGCCGCATTCCTCGCTGCCATGGTCAACAACACCTCTGCACCTTCCACCTCGGCAGCCGCCATCACGCCCAACACGCTCAACGCGCTCACCAACGCAGCCGCCTCCGCCACCGGCTCCATAGACCCCACCGCTCCCAACGCGCCCACCGCACCCGGCGCTGCGCTCTCCACCCAGCCGCAGAACTTTGCAGGCAAGCCCTCCGACGCCCACAACGCCTTTGACCTCGCATTCAGCCGCTCCTTCCCCAACGACCGCGCCGCCGCCGCAGACGCCAAAGCCGGCTCCAAACTAAAGGCGCAGGTCAAGGCGAGCGACTCGGATCGCAGCCTCTCGCAGAGCATCAGCCCGCAGATGATGCAGAAGCCTCTCGATCCCGTGCCCGGCGACCAGCAGAACGCCGCCTCGGGTCTCTTCCTGCTCAGCCGCGCACACCAGGAGATGGCAAAGCGCGACGGCGCAGCAGCCGCATCCACCTCGCTCTACGAGTCCAAGCCCGCCGCCGCAGCGCCAAAGAAGGGTGCAAAGGGCAAAGGCGACGACACCAAGCCCGCCAACAACAAGCGCAAAAAGTCCAACTCGGCCGACGATTCCGCCGCACCCGCCGCTGCCTCGTCGTCCTCATCCGCCTCGATCTCGGCGCCACCTTCCAAGACGGCCAAGACGGCCAAGGGCGGCAAGAAAGCGGCGGCATCTTCCTCGAGCATGAAGGACCTTGGACCGCCCGAAGACGACGACGAGGAGCACTGGGACAGCGACGACGACGGCAAGGGTGGCGAAAAGGGGCAGGACGAGAAGCGCAAAAACTTCCTCGAGCGCAATCGTCAGGCGGCGCTCAAGTGTCGCCAGCGCAAAAAGGCGTGGCTGGCCTCGTTGCAGGCCAAAGTGGAGTATCTGCAGAACGACAATGAGAATCTGCAGAATACGGTGGGTGCGCTTCGCAACGAAAACATGTTTCTCAAGAGTCAGCTGGTGCAGGCTACGGGGGGTGCGCCGTTGCCGATGATGCCGATGATGCCTATGGCGCCGCCGCCGCCGCATGGGGTGGAGCATATGCAGATGATGCCTCATCCGGCGTACATGCATCCGGGCGCTTCGGGGCCACCCATGTCGCAGGCGCAGGGGGCCTTTGTCCCACCGGCGCAGGTGCATGTGCCGCGCGGCGGGATGGCACCGGGATTCGACGTGCAGCGACAGCGACAGAGGACCGAGGGCGACCAGGATGTGGGCGCCAAGCACGAGCGCGAGTGGAGCAACGCCTCGGACGTGTCCAAGCAGCAATCCGGCCCGGCGGCCACCATCAAGGTGTGAATTCCTCCCACTACGACGCCTTTTTTTTTGTATGATATTCCCCTCTTTTCCACCTACCCCAGCTCGGTGTATAGTATGCAAGATGGCCATTTGTATTTCGCATGGATGGGTGGTGTGACAGTTGTACGCTAGTCTTGCTGAGGATCTTGGCGGCTGAGTTTGGCGCTTACGTGGCCGTTTGGCGTCGGAGACAGCAAGTGCGGCTTCTGACGTGGGGCGCTTTTCGAGCGACGGTGCGGGAAGCGGGCGGCGTTGAGCGGGGTACCTTTGGCTTTTGCGTGCGGGAGGCTACTCGCCTGTACGAGGATGCGGATGTGATCAAGATTGACCTTCGAAGTGAAACAGCGGAATTGCAACGAGTGGCTGGGCGGTGAATCCTGCGTTGTACATTCGAGTCCACGGTGCGGGAGCGAGTTCCGACGCAACACGGAGGCTCGAGGAGACAAGTATGCGGGATGCCAGCAGCATGGGCTGTGGCGAGGTGAGCTACTTGGCGAGATAGATGCCTTCCGTAGCAATCAAGGTTTTGGCCTCCGCTCTCGAACGGATGCGATCGGAGGTAGGAGTGACACTTGGTGGTACCTTACAACCAGTGACTTTAGGGCTTTGCCCGGGGTATGGCAGGGGGAACCTTGAGCAACTTCGCCAGACTGTGCGCTTGATGGCGCATGGCGAAATTTCACATGTTGTGCTGCGGAGGTGACAGAGTCTGCTTTGGCCTTCCCGCTACCAAACCCAGCGGGCTTGGGGGTCGGGCGTGCGGGTTGAACGGTGCCTAGCGAGAAGCGGGGATCAGCGGGCGGAGTTGGTCGTTGGTCTTTGTTGTTGTCGCCGTGACTGTCTGGCACTGACGCGCGAAGTGTGCGGAAAGAGGCGCGAGCGAGAAGCTGCACAGACAAAGTCGCCCGCACTCGATATCACTCTCAGCCGCATTGCCAACGAGACACGAGGTCGCCATGACGACTCGGCAGCACCTCCCTGGACCCATTCAAGAAATGTCTCGCTTCATACAACAGCGCACGCCACACACTCTTTGCTCGAGTATATACAGCACGAGCAAAGTGGATAACGACCCCGCTCAGGCGCTCGACGCACGTTCCTCCTGCTCGTACCTCGATCAATTGACCGCAAACAGCATGTAGATAGAGCCCACCACCATCGTTCACATTTGCTGCCGCCGTGTGAACTGTGACAATACATTTGATCGCTCGAGATTCTCTGCCGTATGTCACCTGCACTGCCACTGTCTTGCCGTTTAGCGTCGCTGTCAACAGCGCCAACCTTGTACGATGGGTCCGCCACGGGACCCCCCCCCCCCCCCCCCCCCCCCCCCCCCCCCCCCCCCCCCCCCCCCCCCCCCCCCCCCCCCCCCCCCCCCCCCCCCCCCCCCCCCCCCCCC